GGGGGGGGTGGACACATTTTGGGGCTAATGGGAGCCATGGGGCCAGCTCTGGTTGCCCCCACGTGTCGGGAGGGTCCCCACCTCCGTCGCAGCGCCGTCCCCATCGGGGCTGCGTGGGGTGACCCCACCAGATGAACTTTGGGTGTCGTTCCCCGTCACCGTGGGGAGCTGTGGGGCCGGGATGTGGGGTGGGGACAACCCCAAAGCCCCCAAACCGGGTACTTTACGTAGCATCTCCTCCCTGAAGAGGTTGTTGGGGTACCTCTGGCCTTCACGTCCGCGACGGCCCCGTGGGGCTCGTGGGTCGGTGCCGATATCCACGGTCAGGTTGGTGTAAAGGGGGTGCAGATGTTTGGCCAGCAGGGTGTAGGTCAACGAGTTCATCCCATCCTGAGTCCACATGCGCTGCGTGCGGATCAGCAGGTCGAACCTGAGCATTGATGGGGGGAAAGGGGGGAGTAAAAAGGGGATGGTTGCACCAACAGCTCCATGGCGGCCCCATATCAGAGCCCACTGCCTCCTCCTTACCTGTGTGGGTTCTCCTCGTTGCCTTTGTCGCTTTTGTGCTTCACCATTTTGTAGTGGCCGATGGAGATGGGCGGGCGGGCGATCTTCATCCCGGCCAGGCGCACCCTGGGATGTGTTTTTTTGTCCCCCCCCAACCCACCCCCAAAAGCGTCACCACGGCCCCACAGAGGTGCCAGCACCAGCACCAGTGTGAGTTGTGGTCCCACCGTGCCCTACCTGGTGGCAATGTCGTCGTCCTCGCCGCCCCAACCCCAATATTCGTTGGGGAAACCATTGATTTTCATGTATTGATCCGGGGTGAGAGCTGAGACCCCCCCAAAGTACTGCGGGTACGGCAGGCTGGGGGGACAGAGAGAACGGGGGGGGTGGGGGGCGACTTAAAGATCGTGGAGCTGTGGGATGGTTGGGTTGGGAGGGTCCTTAAAGATCATAGGACAACGGGATCACAGAATGGTTGGGTTGGAAGGGTCCTAAAAGATCATAGGACAATGGGATCACAGAATGGTTGGGTTGGAAGGGTCCTAAAAGATCATAGGACAACGGGATCACAGAATGGTTGGGTTGGAAGGGTCCTTCAAGATCACAGAACCATTGAATCACGGAATTTTTGGGTTGAGAGCGACCCTAAAGATCAAAGAACCATGAAATCACAGCGTAGTTAGGTTGGAAGGGGCCTTAAAGGTCATAGAACAATGGGATCAAAGCAGAATTAGATTGGAAGGGTCCTTCAAGATCACAGAACAATAGGATCACAGAATGGTTGGGTTGGAAGGGTCCTTAAAGATCACAGAATCATTGAATCATGGAATGTTTGGGTTGAGAGCGACCCTAAAGATCAAAAAACCATGGGATCACAGCATGGTTGGATTGGAAGGGTCCTAAAAGATCACAAAACAATGGGATCACAGCATAGTTGGGTTGGAAGGGATCTTAAAGATCACAGAACCATTGAATCATGGATTGGTTGGGTTGAGAGCGACCCTAAAGATCAAAGAACCATGGCATCACAGAATGGTTGGGTTGGAAGGGTCCTGGAAGGTCGCAGAACATTGGGATCACAGCACGGTTGGGTTGGAAGGGTCCTGGAAGGTCGCAGAAGCACTCACCTGTACCCAAATTTATTCATGGCAATGGAGACGTGTTTGGGGTTCCAGGGGTCGCAGGTGTAGAGGTTGTGGTCGTTCTCGGGGATGAGGTCGACGTCGTGCAGGAAGAGGCAATCCCACTCCTCGTCCTTCAGGGCCTCCTTCACCCCCACGTTCAGCAGCTTGGCACGGTTGAAGGTGCTGTTCCCTGCCTGGGGGGCGAAAACAAGGAGGGATGTGGGTGACCCTACAATAATATGGGGCAGCCCTACCATAATGCAGGCGGGGGAGGTGACCCTACAATAAATATCATGGGGTGACCCTACAATATCACGGGACAGCATGAGGGTAACCCTATGATAGCGTTGGGTGGAGATGTTGGGCAACCCTACAGTAACACAGGTGGGGGAGGCGACCCTACAATAAATAGCATGGGGTGACCCTACAATAAACAGCATGGGGCGACTCTACAATAAATATCATGGGGTAACCCTACAATATCACAAGGCAACCCTACAGTAACATGGGGAGGGATGTGGGTAACCCTACAATAGCACTGAATGGCGACGTTGGGCAACCCTACAATAGCACAGGTCGGGAAGGTGACCCTACAATAAATATCATGGGGCAACCCTACAATAAATATCATGGGGTGACCCTACAATAAATATTATAGGGCAACCTACAATATCATGGGGCAGCATGGGTGTAACCCTACAATAGGGTTGAATGGCGACAATGGGCAACCCTAAAATAACAGGGCAGGGGGAAACGTGACCCTACAACAACACAGAGGAACCCAATCGGACCCTGGACCCCCAAGTGCCCCCCACCTGATGCACCACGTAGATGCCGTAGTGCAGCTGCTGGCGCTGCAGGAAGGGGTGCAGGTAGTAGAGGAGGTGGCCCAGGTGAGTCTCACGGTTGCGGTGCGGGACGATGACGGCGGTGCGGGAACGGGGTTCACAGGTTTGGGGTTGGTAACGACCACCAGGTTGCACCGCTGGGTTCTTGGCCTGGATCTGCTCCAGGGTGGGCACACGGCTGAAGGTCACCGTCAGAGGGCCGACTGTGGGGTGGAGGGAGGGTGGGGTAGGACCCAATGGTAATCAATGGCACCAGTTGGGTCATGGGGGCCTTAATTACCCCATAACCAAGTGGTACCTATTGGGTCATGGGGGTCCTAATCACCCCATAACCGATAGCATCAACTGGGTCACGTAGATCCCCAGTCACCTCATATCCAATGGCACCAAATGGCTCATGGGGGTCTCAGTCACCCCATACTTCATGACACCAACTGGGTCATGTAAATCCCCAACCACCCCATATCCAATGGTACCAATTGAGTCATGGGGGTCCCAATCACCCCATAACCAATGACACCCAACCAGGCCATGGGGGTCTCAGTCACCCCATATCCAATGACACCAACTGGGCCATGAGGGTCCCCAATCACCCCATATCCAGTGATAACAATCGGGTCATGGGGGTCCCAATCACCCCATAACCAATGACACCCAACCAGGCCATGGGGGTCTCAGTCACCCCGTACTTAATGTCACCAACTGGGTTATGTAGATCCCCAACCACCCCATATCCAGTGGTACCAAGTGAAACATAGGGGTCCCCAATCACCCCATAACTAATGGCACCCAACCGGGCCATAGGGATCTCAGTCACCCCATACTTCATGACACCAACGGGGCCATAGGGGTCTCTATCACCCCATACTTAATGGCACCAAGTGGGTCATGTAGACCCCCAATCACCCCATATCCAATGGCACCAACTGGGCCATGGGGGTCTCTATCACCCATAACCAATGGCACCCAAATGGGTCATAGGGGTCCCAACGACCCCATACCCAATGGCACCCACCTGGGCCATGGGGGTCTCAATCACCCCATACGTAATGGCACCAAAATGGTTCATGGAGGTCCCAACCACCCCATATCCAATGGCACTGAGTCATGGGGGTCCCAATCACCCCATAACCAATGACACCAACTGGATCGTGTAGATCCCCAACCACCCCATATCCAATGGCACCAACTGGGCCATGGGGGGTCCGAACTACCTGACATCCAATGGCACCAACTGGGCCATGGGGGTCTCAATCACCATATACTTAATGGCAACAACCAGGCCATGGGGGTCCCAACCACCCCATAACCAATGGGGCTCAACTGGGTCATGGGTGTCCCCAGTCGCCCCATATCCAATGGCAGCAATTGGGTCATGGGGGTCCCAACCACCCCATATCCAATGGGGCTCAACTGGGTCATGGGGGTCCCCAATCACCCCATATCCAATGGCACCAATTGGGTCATGGGGGTCCCAACCACCCCATATCCAATGGCACTGGGTCATGGGGGTCCCAGTCACCCCATACTTCATGACACCATCTGGATCGTGTAGATCCCCAACCACCTCGTATCCAATGGCACCAACTGGGCCATGGGGGTCCCCAATCACCCCATATCCAGTGATAACAATCGGGTCATGGGGGTTGCAATCACCCCATAACCAATGGTACCAACCAGGCCATGGGGGTCTCAGTCACCCCATAACCAATGGCACCAAGTGGGTCATAGGGGTCCCCAATCACCCCATATCCAATGGCACCAACTGGGCCATGGGGGTCTCAATCACCCCATAACCAATGGCACCAAGTGGGTCATGTAGACCCCTAATCACCCCAATCCAATGGCACCAACTGGGCCATGGGGGTCCCAATCACCCCACACCCAATGGTACAAACAGCTCTTATCTCCCCCCACCTGACACCCCCATGTCCCCACACGTGACCCCCATCCCCACACGTGACCCCACCCCCTGACCTCTGACCCCACACGTGACCCCCATCCCCACACGTGACCCCACCCCCTGACCTCTGACCCCACACGTGACCCCACCCCCTGACCTCTGAACCCACACGTGACCGCATCCCCACACGTGACCCCACCTCCTGACCTTTGACCCCACCCCACCCCCACCCCCCACTCACGGAGGAGGGGTGACCGCTGTGGGCAGTAGGGCAGCGGCTCGGCGGGGTCCCTCAGGGTTCCTTGGGGCAGCAGCCGGCTGAGGTTGGCGTAAACGTCGTGAGTGCGGGAATAATCCACGGCGGGGGGGGAAGAACGACCGAAAAGAGCCGTGAGGTTCCGGAAACCCCCCAAAGAAAAATAAGCGACGAAAGCGAACTGGCAGCCAATCAGCAAGGCCAAAGAGCACGGCCGCTCCAACAGCCGCCGCAGCATCGCGGGGTGGGGGTGGGGGGGGGCACCGGGGCGAGGCCCCCCCGGTGGGTGCAGACGCGGCCCCCCCAGCGGTCAGCGCCGCCCGGCGGCCGCCATCTTGGCTGGGGGGGGGGGGGGGGGAGGGGGAAGGGAGCGTGAGGGGCGTGGCTTAAAGGGGCGGGGTTTGATTGGGCGGTGTTTGGATGGAGGCGGGGCGTAGAGGCTGAGTTGGCCTTTAGTAGGCGGGGATTGAAGGGGAAGGGATTTTTGATTGGGCGATGCGCAGAGGGAGGGCGGGGAAAAGAGGGTGAGTTGACCTTTAGTAAGAGAGGCGTGAAGAGGGCGGGATTTGATTGGGCGGTGCTTGGGAAGGGGGCGTGGCTTAGTGTGTGGGTTAGTTGGTAGTGGGCGGGGCTTAAAGGGGGCGGGGACTGAGGGGGTAAGAGGAACGGGGGGGAAATGTGGGAAGGTTGTGGGGTGGAGGAGGAGGAAAAAGCGGGTTAATTGTGGGGAAAATGCGGGGCCAAGAGGCGGCACCGTGTGGGGACAGAATGGAGACCTCCAACCTCCCCGTTACCACAGCAACTGAGCGCCTCACCTCTGCCCCGCCCCCTTCCGGTGACGTAGAAAGGAGCGGGCGCTCTGATTGGTCCGTGTGCTGCTCGCGGACCGGAAGTGCCGGAGCGGCGGGAGGTGGGGGAGGGACGCCATGATGGCGGCGGCGGCGGCTGCGGAGCGGTGCGGCCGGGATCCGTGCGGAGCGCTTTGCCCGCTGCTCGCCTACCTCAGCGTGGGCTACGCCGACTACGCCGTGCTCGCCCACGTCCTGCCGCAGCCCGCGCTGCGAGCCAGGTGCCAAAGGGAGGAGCCGGGGCTGTCTATAGGGCTGTGTGGGCCCTATGGGGCGGGCAGCGAGGCCTGTGGGGCCTATGGCGGGGTGTGGGGTCTGTAGGGGCACCGGGGCCCCCGTCAGGTTCGTGGCTCCTTGGGGATCTCGGCTCTGTGGGATCCTCCTGTGGGCTGTGGGGACGCTCTGGGTGCCCCCATGGGGTGCTTGGGGTTTCCTATCCGTGTCCTGGGTTCCTGGGGCCCCGTGGGGTGCAGGGTTCTATCCTGGATCCGCGGGGCTCGGTAGCTGTGGTGTCCCCATGGGGCTCGGGGTCTATGGGGCACTGCGTCTCAGTGGGTTCTGGGCATTGTGTCTATGGGATCCCCGAGGCTCTATGGGATTCGCAGGTCTTTGGGATCCATGCAGCGATCTGTGGCTGTGGGGCAGTAATTGTGCAGGGTTCCTGCAGGGCTCTGGGTGCTTGGGGTCACCCTGTGCCCCCCACCCTTCAGCCCATGGTGCCCCATCCATGCAGTGACGTTCAACCTCCTGGTGCTTCTGCTTTTGGCCTCCCACACCCGCGCTGTCTTTGCTGACCCCGGTGAGTGCCACCACCCCCCACTCCCAGTTACGTACATGGAGGTCCCCCCCATTTATTTATATGGGGGTCCCAATAAACCAAGCATTCATTCACCCCACCCGCAACCCCCAGGTGTGGTTCCCCTCCCTGGCACTGCCATCGACTTCTCAGACCTGCACCCAACGGAGCGGGTGAGTCCCTGGGGGCTGCTATGGGGTGTTGGGGGGCTGCTGCTACGGGATGGGGGCCTTACACTGTGTGCTGCCCCATTCCTTCCCCCTCAGAACTCAGATGAATGGACGCTGTGCAGTCGCTGTGAGGCCTATCGGCCTCCCCGTGCCCACCACTGCCGTGTGTGCCACCGCTGCGTGCGCCGCATGGACCACCACTGCCCCTGGTGGGTGTCTGGCCATCCCCCCCCCTCATTAGGACACCCCCAGACCCCAAAGGATGGGGACAGCAGACACAAAGATGTCATCACCCCCATTTGTCTGCAGGATAAATAACTGCATCGGGGAATTGAACCAGAAATACTTTATCCAGTTCCTCTTTTACACTGGTAAGTTGTGAGATGTCGGGCTCGGCCCCATAGCAAAGGGTTCAGCCCTACAGCTGTGGGTTCTGGCTCACTGCTCGCCCCATACCAGGCCTGACCAGTGCCTATGCAGCGGGGTTGGTGTTGGCTGTGTGGTTGGGACCATCAGGAGGAGATGGCACCGAAAACCGCATCCAGACGTGAGTGTGGGGTAATGTGGGGGACCGGTGGCCACCCCACATCAGCCCTCAGCCCCACTGCTGTCCCACAGCACTCACTGCATCGTTCTGCTGCTGGAGTCCCTCCTCTTTGGCATTTTTGTCACCGTTGTGTTTTATGATCAGGTCAGTGGGGCGGTGTGGGGCAGGTGGGTGGCAGTGAGACGGGCGGTGACATCTCTGTCCCCAACCCCATAGGTGGTGTCCATCCTCACGGAGCAACCCCACAAGCGGGGGTCAAAGGAGGCGTGTGGGGGACGAGCATGGGCAGCAGCACTGCAGGAGGTGTTTGGGGGAGGCTGTGTGCTCAGCTGGCTCTGCCCCTGCAGCACCCCATCCCACCCCACATACAGCCTCCTGCCCCACGGCGACGTCTGAGCCCCATAGAATGGCTGGGGGGGGGGATTGGTGCCCCAGGGGGTGCTAATGCCCCAAAGTTTGGGTACCCCAGATAGGTTCTGAGAGTCCAGCTCTGTGTTCAGGGGGTCCTGCCCCAAAGATTGGGCACCCCATAGAGGTCCTGGGGGGTCTCTATGATTAGGAAGTCATACCCCAAAGTTTGGATACCTCGTAGAGGTGCTGGGGCATCCATGGGTCCGTTCTCAGGAGGTCTTGCCCCACAGATCAGGCACCCCATAGATAGAGGTCCAGGGGGTCCCCAGCTCTGTGTTCAGGGGGTCCTGCCCCCAAAGTGCAGACACCCCATAGAGGTTCAGGGATGGCCCCAATTCATGATGCTGCATGGCACCAAGGAGAAGATTTCTGGCTCTGGGTGGGGGCACCCAACAAACCCCATTGTACCCAATGTTGGCAGCACCATCGTCATGGAGGGGAGAGGGATCAGCTCAGCCCCCATTGTGCATAAGGACAGTCCAATAACCCCAAAGCAGAGAGCAGAGCTCCATAAATAGCTTTAAATAATCCCCTACCACCCAATAGGTGCACAAAGGGGGACGTTGTGGGGATACCCCGAGGCCAGCCCAGGGCTGAGACCCCCGGGGGGGGGCTGAGGTAGATACAATAAACCCAATAAACCCACAGTTACGCCCGGCGCTGCCGGAGAATCTCCAAAATCTCTGCTTTCTGTTTCTCCCACGCCGTGGTTGCTGCTTTTCTGGGGATGAAGAAGCTGTATTTCAAACGGGGTGGGCGCTTCTCATCCACCACCAAAGCTTGCAGCACCAAAGGCTCCAGCAATGGCCCCCGGCACGCCAGCACTTCAGGAACGGCCGTGGCACCGCTGTACCGCAGCACTGCACCGCCTGGCAATGTCACCGTGTGCTCTGATGGCACCAGGATGAAGCCACCATTGAGCAGAGCTTGGCCGGAGGGCTTTCGGAGTGCCAGGTAGATGTTGTCACCGTGGGTGCCGTGTGGTGAGCCCTGCCGGACCAGGAGGTGCGTGGCGCCCGCTGGGATGGTGATCACGTCGTTGTAGCCGTAGCTGTGGGGTGATTGGAGGGGTAGGGGGGTTAGAAGAGATGGGGATGGGGATTGGAGGGTTGGGGGAGGTGACGGAGAGGATGTGGGGCCAGAAGGGGCAATGGAGGGGACAAATGTGTCAGAAGAGGAGATGGAGGGGATTTGGGGCAATGAAGAGGAAATCGGGGCCAGGAGGGGCGATGGAAGGGATGGTGGGTTTGGGGGGTGGTGATGGAGGGGACAAACGGGTCAGAAGAGGAGGTAGAGGATGTTAGGGGTGATGGGGAGGAAATTGGGACCAGGAGGGGTGATGGACAGGGGGATGGCAGAGCCAGAAGGGGGGATAGTGGAGTCAGTGAGGGACAGAAGAAGAGATGGAGAGGGTGTAGAGTTAGGAGTGTGCAGACATGAGGTTGGAAGGAGCAACAGAGGCTTCTGTGGGGTCAGAAGAGGCCACAGAAAGGATACCCCGAACACCCATAGGTGCCCCCACCCCCTCAGTGCTCACCGGGGTGCGGTGAAGGACCCGGACACCTTGGTACAGCTGGAACCATCACCACCACACTGCATGCATTTGTCAAATTTCTTCTTGGAGCCAATGATGCGGTCGCAGCCGGTGGGGATGCAGCGGCCCCTCACGCAAACCCCACTGCCCTCTGCTGAGCACGGCGTCCCATCCACAACCTGCAGCACGGCATCGGCACGGCGTCAGCACGGCATCGGCACGGCGTGGTACCACGGGAAGGAAGGGACAAGGGGAAAAACTCACCCGTGGCTGCAGCACGTGGTAAACACCCAACCTGCGGGATTGGCACATCAATTTGCAGCGATCCTCCTCGGCGACGCCGCTGTATCGTGGCACCCAATCGCCCACCGCCGGCAGCGCCGCCGAAACGACGCGGTGGTTGTAAGCAGCACATTGTTCCTCCCGGAATGCTGCAGTGGTTTGGAGATGGATAGGATGTTTTAGCAACGGTAAGTGCCCCGTAGCTCCACGCTGTGCCCCACGGCTCAGCCCCACACTCACCGCTGCGTCCAGGGCACTCCTCGACGTTGCAGGAGCGGAAGCGGAGTCGCTCCCCGCGGCAGAAGCGGCCGCCGTTGAGCGGCGTGGGCCGGGAGCAGGAGCGATGTGAGGAGCTGACACCGCCACCACAGCTACGGGAACAGCTGCTCCATGGAGCCCACGGCCCCCAGGAGCCATCCACGGGGACCTGGGGGGGGGAAAAAACACCATGAACTCAATGCTAGGATCTATCCGTGGGGATCTGTGGGGGAAAAAACACTGCGAACCCAACACCAGGATCCATCTGTGGGGGAAACCACACTCTGAACCCAATACCAGGACCCATCTGTGGGGGAAACCATGCTCTGAACCCAACACCAAGACCCATCTGTGAGGATCTATGGGGAAAACCATGCTGTGAACCCAACACCAGGACCCATCCATGGAGATCTATGGGGAAAACCATGCTGTGAACCCAACACCAGGACCAATCTGTGGGCAGCTATGGGGAAAAAACATCATGAACCCAACACCAGGATCCATCTGTGGGGAAAACCACACTCTGAACCCAACACCAGGGTTTATCTATGGGGAAAACCACTCCGTGAACCCAATACCACAATCTAACCACAGCTTATAGGTGCAAATCCACCCCGTGAACCCAACACCAGGACACATCCAGGGGGCAAAACCACCCTATAAACCCAACAACACGATCTAACCATGGGTATCTATGGGAAAAACCATACCACAAACTCAACACCAGGATTGATCTATGGGGAAAACCACTCCGTGAACCCAACGCTGGGATCTAACCATGGGTTCTACAAGGAAAACTATCCCATGAACCCAACACCAGGACTCCTCCATGGTGATCTACAGGACAAAGCCACACCATCAACCCATCCCCAAGCTCTAAATCCCATTTGGATCCCCAACACTCACCCGGAGCTGTTCCACGGTGGCCATATCCACGCACTGCCCGCTGACACACACCCGTCCCAACGCACATGGCGTGCCATCAGCCCATGGGAAGTGCTTGGTTTGGCAAACTGCTCTCCCTCCAGCACGGCCACTGCACCACAGTGCAGCACAGGAGGGCTGCACGTCCCCACAGTGCCGTGAATCGGGGCCAAATGCCAGCTGGCACTGCCGATCTGCTGGATACGCCGCGCCAGGCAGCACCGACGGCAGCTTCAGCCATTCAGTGGGTTTATCCAAAAGGCAGCGACCTGCACGGAGGAGACAGCACTGAGCCCCAAAGTAGGAATGGGGCAGAGCTGCATGGATGTCCCCGTAGCAATGGGGACAACGTGAGGTCGTACCGTGGCCGTTGTCCAGGAAGTCGGTGATGAAATGGGCGCTGCATGGGGACCACATCTCTCCTGGTGGCACTGAACCCATCACCGGTGCCATCACACGGCGTGAGGAGCCCATGGGGCTGTTGAGTTCCATGCAACGCTGCGAATCGTCGTGTGGCATGCTGAGCACGTGGCCTGAGATGGGAGCGGTGTCAGAACCATGGAGGCACCTGGGGGGGTTCTTTGGGGTGTCCTATTGGGGGCTGTGAGTGCTGGAGATGTGAGTGAGCCAGGGATGTCTTTAGATTCTGGGGAGCTTTTGGGGTTGTTGAGGGGAGATTTGGGGATCTTTTGAGGGTCTTTTGGGAGGATGTTCCAAGGGACGTTTTGAGGGATGTCTCAAGCAAATTTTGAGGAGGTTTAGGGACCCTTTGAAGGTCTTTCAGGGGATGATCCAAGGGACATTTTGGGGGTGGTTTGGGAGATGTCTCAAGCACATTTGGAGAGCTTTGAGGTGTGTTTTAGGGACCCTTTGAGGATCTTTTTTGGGGGACATTTTGGGGATGTTTGGGGTGGTTTAGGAGATGCACTGGGGACATTTTGGGGTCATTATGAGGACAGGGCCATAAATGCTGAAGATGTTATCTGCACCAAGGAGTGAGCATCAGCTGCTCAGGGATGTGTTGGGCGCATATCAGGTGCATTTTGGGGATATTTTGGGAAGGTTTTAGGGCACCTTTTGGGGGAATGTTTTGGGGGTTGATTTGGGGAAGAACTTGAGCATATCTGAAGGAAGTTTGGGACATATCTGGGGAATGTTTTGGGGGATAGAGATGTGCGTGCTGAAGATGTGAGCCGTGCCACAAGACAAATGTCAGCACTGTGGGGACATATGGGGATATTTAGGGCATTTGGGGGGGATTTTGGGGGGACAGGGCCTTACATTTGTCCCCTTTGGGCACTCACCCAGCTCATGTGCAACCGTGAACGCCGACTGCAGCCCATCATCCTCCACAATGGCACAGCTCCATTCGGGGTCGCAGGCGGTGCCCACATCAGCCATCCCCAATGTGTCACATGTGGCCGCCCCACACAGGTCCTGGGGTGGGAGCATGGGGTTAAAGGGTGTCTTGAGGCACCCTGACACCCATTGGTGCCCCAAGAACAAAGCATGCACCCTGAAATCCCGGGGGCACTTTGACACCTTGGTGGTCATCGTGGGGTCCTACCCAGCACTCAAGTCATTGGGATAGGTTTGGGGGATCCTACTGCCACCCGAAGGCCAATGGGTACTCAGGGATCCTACCCAGCACCCAAACTCCCTGAGATGGGTCTTGGAGCTCCTGCCAGCACCCAAAATCCCACAGGAACCCCAAGAACTTAGCCTGCACCCCAAAATTCCAGGGGGACCTCACACCCAGCTACTTGGGATGGGGCTTGGGAGAACCCAACCAGCACCCAACTGCCTTGATGTGTATATAAGGGATCCTACCCAATGCCCAACTCGTTTGGATGGGATTTGGGGGCCCCTCCCAGCACCCAACCACCCACGGGCACCCCAAGGACCCAACCACCTCCAGGAGCACCCAATGGGCCCAGCCTGCATCACAGAAGCACATAGTGGTCATACTACTTTGGTAGGATTTGGTAGACCCTACCAAAACCCACAAACTCATGGGCATCCCAGCCATCACCCAGACACCTTGGTGGGTATCCAAGGATCCTACCCAGCACCCAACTCATTGGGATGGGATTTGAGGGACCCAATCGTCACTCAAAAACTTCAGTGGGCATCCAAAGATCCTACTCAGCACCCAACTCATTGGGATGGGATTTGAAGGACCCAACCATCACCCAAAAACCTCAGTGGGCATCCAAAGATCCTACTCAGCACCCAACTCATTGGGATGGGATTTGAGGGACCCAACCATCACCCAAAAACCTCAGTGGGCATCCAAGGATCCTACCCAGCACCCAACTCATTGGGATGGGATTTGGAGGACCCAACCATCACCCAAAAACCTCAGAGGGCATCCAAGGATCCTACCCAGCACCCAACTCATTGGGATGGGATTTGAGGGACCCAACCATCACCCAAAAACCTCAGTGGGCATCCAAGGATACTACCCAACACCCAACTCATTGGGATGGGATTTGGAGGACCCAACCATCACCCAAAAACCTCACTGGGCATCCAAAGGTCCTACCCAACACCCAACTCATTGGGATGGGATTTGAGGGACCCAACCATCACCCCAAAGCCCATAGTGAACAAAATGGCCCCATCCAGCCCCCACCCATCCCTATGCCCCCCACCTGCCGGGTGAAGAGGACGGCGACATCGAAATGGAGGGGACTGTCTTCATCAGGGACATTGAGGTCCTTTTGCCACCGGCAGAAGTCACGCAGTGTTTGGGCAGCATTGGAGGTGACAGGTGGCCCCGGTGTACCGGGTCCCAAAACCAGGAGCCGTGTCACCCTCAACTGCACCTCAGCACCCAGGCTGCCATGCCGGAAGGTCCTGGCAGCTGTAGCCAACACCGTCAGGAGGTACGGCTGCAACTCCGTGCCATGGAACTGTGCCATGGCCGCATCAGCCACCACCAACAGCTCCACGTGGCGCTGCACCGCCGCGAAGCGCTGCGGGGAGAGAGGGGTGGGCGTTGGGGTGGTGCCCCCCAATGGTGGTGGCACTGTGACAGCCCATTGTCACCCACCTCCGTGCTAATGGCCCCCAGCGATGTGCTCCTCCATCCCATTGTCATCCATCCCTATGCCAGTGTCCCCCATCGCTATGCTGACGTCCCCCATTACTGTGCCAGCCCACCCTGGTGCCACCCACCCCCATGCCAACATCCTTCATCTCTACACCAACCCATTTCAGTGTCCTCCATCCCCGTGCCAATGCTCCCCATCTCTGTGCTGACGTCCCCCATTGCTATGGCTGCCCACCCTGGTGCCACCCATCACTGTGCCAGTCTGCTTCAGTGTCCCCCACCCCCCATGTCAATGCCCCCCACCACCATGCCAATGTCCCCCATCCCTGTGCCAGTCCATTTCAGTGTCCCCCCACCCCCGTGCCAATGTCACCCATCACTATGCTGATGTCCCCCATTGCTGCTCCAGCCCACCCTGGTGCCCCTCATCACCATGCCAATGTCCCCCATCCCTGTGCCAGTCCATTTCAGTGTCACCCACCCCTACACCAATGCCTCCCACCACTGTGCCAGCCCGCCCTGGTGCCACCCATCACCATTCCAACTCACACCAATATCCCTTATCTCTACACCAACCCATTCCAGCGTCCCCCATCGCTGTGCCAACCCAACCCATCCCCATACCAACGTCCCTTATCCCACTGCTACCCCACAGCAGTGTCCCCCATCACCGTGTGACCCCAAACCATTGCCACCCGTCACCATTCCACCTCACACCAACATCCCAATCTCTGCGTCACCCCATCCCATCGCAGTGTCAACACCTCCTATTCCACTGCCACCCCACAGCAGCATCCACCACCCCTGGGGGTGACCCCATAGAGGTATCCCCACCCCTGGGTGACCCCACAGCAGCATCCCCATCCCGGTGCCACCCCATCGGGGTGCCACCCATCACAACACCAGTGCGTCCCAACGTAACCCAGTGCCATTCCCACTGATATATCCCAAAATCCCCCTTCACCCCACGGTACCTTCACTCTCTTTGGGGCCGTATCCCCCCCTCGCCGTGGCGATGTGCCTCCCGTTACGGGACAGTGGGGTTCGGCGGTGGCCCCGAGGGCGGCGGTGCCGATCAGCAGCGCCAGGAGCGCCCGGCGCATGGCACACCAATGGGACACGGCTGGGAAAGCGCTCTGCCCTCCACCGCCGCCCTATTAACGGGGACGGGACGAGGGGGAGAGGCATCGAACTGTCCCCTCCCTCCCTCCCCTCAACCCCCCCCTCCTGGTTCTGAGCGGTTCCGGAACGGCGCAGCCCGCTGGGAACGGGAAACCCCACGAGATGGGAGAGGTGCCAATTGGGGGGGGGAGGTTGGGACGACCGCTCCTTCCGACCCCTCCGTCTATCCGTCCTCCATCACTCCCCATTCCCTCCGGCACATTTTGTGCCCCCTCCGGCACATTCTGTTCTCTCCATCCCTCCGCGTCCCTTCCATCCCACTCTGTCCTCTCCCACCCCTCCTCATCTCCTCCAAATCTCCTTTATCTCATTCAGACCCCTAAAGATCCCCATAGCGATCCCTTTTCCAACCCTTTGTCCCATCCTATCCCTTCTATCCCCATTTCCCCCAACCCCACCCCTTTGCCTCCATCTCTCCTTGCCACATCCATTACTCCCTGTCTCCTCTCTCCCATTCTGTCCCCCCCATCCCATTATCCCTTCCTTTCCCTGCCTGTCCTCTCCAACCTCACCTCATTCATCCTTAAACCCTCTGTCATTCTTCATCCCATCCCATCCATCCCATCCCACCCCCTTTTGTCCCATCCCATCCCCTCCATCCCACTCTGACCTCTGGGGATCCCTATGGAGATCCCTCTTTGCACCCTCCAACCCCCCTCCAACCCCTCAACCCCACCCTTTCCCCCCACCCCCCTCCTTCCCTCTCCATCCCCACTCCAACTCCCCTCCCCGTGTCCCCATTCCCGTCAGGACCCCCCATGATGTGTCACACCAATGTCACCTCCTGGCCACCATCCCAACCAGGCAGGACGCACCACATCCTGCTTCCTCCCTTCTGGTAATGCAACATGGAACCTCCCACCCTTCCTTCCCCGTTCCCACCCCCCCACCCCTCTTGGGGTACCCCCAC